AGCGGAAACCATTCTGACATCTAAGGGCCCCGTGACCTTGACCGTTGAACTAGTGACGCAAAATCAATAGGGGTCATCTAAAAGTTATGACCAATAAATATTAGAATATGAAGACTTTGTGATAAATAGCTTTTAAGATGCTGAGCAGAATCCACACTAACATTCAAGGACCCTTTGACCTTGACCTTTGACCTAGTGACCCCAAAACAATTTGGGTCATGTACTAGTTATGACCAATCACTTCGTGAAATATGAAGACTTTGTGATAATTAGCTTTCAAGATAAAAATGAGCTGAAATCATAGGACCCTGTGACTTTGACCTTTGACCTGATGACCCCAAAATCAGCAGGGGTTATCTACTAGTTATGACCAATCAATATATGAAATATGAAGCATTTGTGAAAAATAATAACTAAGATTGTGAGCAGAAAGCATTCAAACATGTATGGCCCCTGTAATCTTTATCTTTGACCTGGTGACCCCAAAATCAACAGGGGTTATCTACTAGTTAAAACCAATCAATATATGAAATATGAAGACTTTGTGATAAATAGCAACAAAGATAATAAGTTAAAAACATATTACCATTCAAAACCCCTTTGACCTTGACCCTTAACCTAGTGACCCCAAAATCAATGGGGGTCATCTACTAGTTACGACCAATCAATATGTGAAATATGAAAACTTTGTGATGACCACTTTTCAAGATAATCGGATAAAACCATTCTGACATCTAAGGCCCCTGTGATGTTGACCTTTGATCTTGTGACCCCAAAATCAATAGGGGTCATCTATTAGTTATGACACATCACTATGTGTAATATGAAGACTTTGTGGTTCATACTTTTCAAGACAGTCAGCAGAAACCATTCTGACATTTAAGGTGCCTGTGACCTTTGACCTTTGATCCCAAAATCAATAGGGTTCATCTTCTCTTTATGACCAATCACTATGTGAAATATGGAGACTTTAAGATGCATAGTTTTCAAGATAATCAGCGGAAACCATTCTGACATTTAAGGCCTCTGTGACCTTGACCTTTGACCTAGTGACCTTAAAATAAATAGGGGTCATTTACTCGTTATGACCAATCACTATGTGAAATATGAAGACTTTGTGATAAAAAGGTTTTAAAATAATCATTGGAAACCATGTTGTCTACAGACTGACAGAAAGACAGACAGACTGACAGACCGACATAAGAAAAACTATAACCCTGTCTTCTTCCAAGAGGGGCATAGCAAAATTTCAAATGCATAAGAGTGTCATGTGAGCTATCATGAGTTTGCGATCCTGTCCGCTGAACACTGAACACGAGCACATGCAAAAATTAAAACAATGACATCTCATTAATTACGTCATCACAACCATCAGCTGTAAAGTGAAAGTAGGTTTTAAGCATCAATCACATGAGTTAAGGATGAGAACATTTTATAAGCTTAATTTGTACAAACAACAGTTTTATTCTGAGAAACTTGATACTACAGAAGTGAACTGCGTAAGGGAAGCAACTCTTTTAAGTATTGTACAGTATTATAAGACAAAAATTTCAACATTATTAATATAGATCTTATTCAAATTAGTGTTACTATCAAGTGTATAAAAGACATTAAGGCACATTTGAGACAAACCAAATAGTTATAATACGCCCTGAAATGAATTATGCCCTCGGGTCATTATTCATTTGGCAAAAAAAACAAGGGCACTATTCATTTTGAGCGAGGGGGGGGGGTATTAACACACTTTCTGGCCCTAATCTACTGTGTAGTATATCTATGTCCATATAGAATTAATTAAATAATTAATAAACACATATTACATCTCAATGAGTTCAATGTTTAATAGATTACTATAATGACATTATGAATTAATTACTTAATGAATACTTATTATGACATGTGATAAGCTAGATCAGCTATAGGGGTAAAGATATTCTCACCCAAATTTTACGACATACAATATTATGTAGTTCTCTTTTTCATCAATTTAAATAGAAAACAGTTGAGGTTTAGAAATGTGTCTGAAAGGCACAGATGCCTCTGCTATTTATGTTAGGACACCAAAAAGTATGAATACCGGTGATATAACAGGACAGCACAGTTTTTATTACATAACCCTATTTGTAACTAGACCTATCACTGAAGGTGATTAATACCCCCACCTGCAACTTTGAATTTATGAAAAAAAGGAGTCTGAAGAAAAATTCGAACAAAAACTATTAACTGTGTACAAAGAAATATTTCAATTAATTGTAATCGCAACTGGGGTCTTGAAATAAGCTTGTTATACACCAAGTTTGATTACAATATCTCATTCCTAACTCTACTTATTGTCCGGAAACCATTTTTCTATTTTAAGTAACACTGTAACGGTGACCTTGACCCTAGGGGTCCAAATGCAATACCAACCCAGGTCTTCATATAAGCTTCCTATACACCAAATTAGATTACAATATCTCATTCCTAACTCTACTTATTGTCCGAAAACCATATTTCTATTTTTCCTAACGGTGACCTTGACCCCAGGGAGTCCTAATGCAATACCAACCCAGGTCTTCATATAAGCTTGCTATACGCCAAGTTTGATAACAATATCTCATTCCTAACTCAAGTTATTGTCCGGAAACCATTTTTCTATTTTTAAAAACGGTGACCTTGACCCCAATGGGTCCAAATGCAATACCAACCCAGGTCTTCAGATAAGCTTGCTATACACCAAGTTTGATTACAGTATCTCATTCCTAAGTCAAGTTATTGTCCGGAAACCATTTTTCGTATTTTTAGTAACGGTGACCTTTGACCTTGACCCCAGGGGGCCCAAATGCAATACCAACCCAGGTCTTACATATAAGCTTGCTATACGCCAAGTTTGATAACAATATCTCATTCTTAACTCTAGTTAGTGGCCGGAAACCATTTTTCTATTTTTAGTAACGGTGACCTTGACCTTGACCCCAGAGGGTCCAAATGCAGTACCGACTGGACTTTACACATAAGGTTGCTATATACCAAGTTTGATAACAATACCTCATTCGTAACTCTAGTTAGGCCGGAAACCATGACTTGGACCGACCAACGTACCGACACCGACGACAAGCTGACTCCTATATACCCCCCCCCCCCTAAACTTTGTTTGTGGGGGTATAATAAAAGACCTTTTCAAGTATAAGGACAGATGGCTGTTGATAAATATTCAAAAGGCATTGGAGCACAAACCTCTCAGTTTATTGTGATCTGGAGCAATAAATATAAGCTCTGTAATATTTAAGATACAATTATTTTGAATGGTTTTTATTTGTTAATTTGATTGGGTTTTATGTCACACCGACACAGTATAGGTAATATGGCGACGTTCAAGCTTTACTGGTGGAGGAAGACCTCAGGTGCCCTTCTGTGCATTATTTCAGGCACGAACCTGCACCTGAGTAGAACTACTGACGTTCCATAAGCTAGCTGGATAGCTTCCTCACATGAAAGAATCCAAAGCTCCCTGTCGGGATTCGAAAAACCACAGCGGTGAGGGGCAAGTGGTTTGAAGTCAACAACCTTAACCACTCTGCCACAGACTCCCCTATATTTTGGATGTATTAGGTATCAATGACTTATAATGCTAAACACTTTTGCCAGCAGTGTTTACTTATTGACCAATCCCTTTATGGATAACAGAGTGTACGGCAAGCCAAGATTTTCTATAAACTGCTGACCTGTTGACCTCTAAGAGTAAGTGTGACCCTCAACTTTGACCTGGGGTCTATATCCTTGAACCTGAAACACTGGCTTTATCATGCTCAACATTTATGCTAAAAAAAAAAAAAAAAAAATTGTTTCAAAATCCCTTCATGCATAACAGAGTTATGGGCCCTAATAAGCTGACATTTAAACTCTGTGACCTTGACCTTGGAGCTAGGGGTTTATGTTTTGCGCGATACAAACTGTCTCTTCTCCATTCTACACATTTTGCCAAATCATTTCAAAATCTCATGAAGCATGATAGAGCTATAGGGGGACAAGGTTTTGAACACACGCGCCGCAACAACAATAACTGGGTAACACTTTATGCTCCTTGTTTTTACTTGATTGGATTGTATTAAGATATTTGAAAAGGATGCATTTATAGTTCAGAACAAAAGCCTGCAAAGAAGCTTCATTTGTTCTGCATATCCCATTGTTTAGGGTCAAGTTTTGAAGAAAATCCTTCAAGAGTCCGACACAAAATGATCGGACATTTTGATTTTTGACATCAAGATTGATCTTGACCTTGAAGAAGACCGTAAAAGGCATGTAAGATTTATAGAGCTGACACAAAAGGTTTGTGATATTTGACCGTTCTCCCTTTCAAAGGTGACATTTGCCTTAAGCTGGAATGGCAGTGGCATTGGTTCTGTCCATTGCCTTATTGAGATAAACATCCAAGTTTGAAGAAAATCCATGACCGGGTGTAGGATTTATAAAGCAGAGACGAAAATGTTCAATATATTACGTTTGACCTTCAAGGGTTCCCTTGACCTTGAACTGGCACAGCTGTAGTATGTTTCTTTCATGATACAGTAAACAGTTATGACAATTTAAAGAAAATTTATTACAGTTTATAGAGCGAGTACATTATTGCCTGTCTGAATATTTGACCTTTGACAATCAAAAAGCTGTGAGCCAGCACTGCAGAGGCATCGGTTCTAAACATTGCCTTGGTTAAGATGCACATTGAGCCAAGTTTGAAAGAAAAATCTTCAAAGGGTATAGGACGCATAAAAGTGTGCAGGGCAATGTTTCATATTTGACCTTTGACCTCCATAGATGACACTGACCTTGAGCAAACCAAGCACAGACATTGGTTATGCATACTGCCTTGTTGAGGCAAATTTAAGGAAACTCACACAGGGGGTATAGAATATACAGAGAAAAGAAAAAAGTTTGGCATTTGTCCTTCAAGGGGATATTGACCCAATGGAACCAAGCAGACAGAATGACTGACCTAATGATGCTGCAAAGTGATTCCAGTATAGCACCAACCACATTATATGGTAGGATATAATCAAATGTTACATTGTAATTTCATAAATTTAATAATATTATAAATTTAATGATATTGTATGATCCGTAGTATTTAATAATTATATCATATTAATTTCAAAAATATTAAAGTAAGGATGACATTCAGCTCGTTTTTATTATATTAATGGCAATATCATACACTTGTATGTACACCATCAAAACAAATATTTACTCACCTAAACTTGGTTTGCTCATACTCTGCCTGACTTTGACCTGAGGAAGTTACTGTCTTAATTTTTGCCATCTCCTGCAAAAACAAATCATCTTCTTTTCTCCAAAAATACTTTTAGTTCAAGACTAATCTATAAGTATATTATTAAGATGTTACTAGAACTGGGGCATAAGTGGCAAAGTGGTTAAGGTTGTTGACTTCAAACCACTTGCCCTCACAGTGTTGTAGATCAAATCCCGAAAGACCATTTGAATTATTTCATGAGAAGAAGCTATCCAGCTAGCTTACAGAACAACCATGGTTCTACTCACGGTACCCGTTTTGTGCCGAAAATAATGCACGGAAGGGCACCTGAGGTATTCCTCCACCAGTAAAGCTGCACGAGCGTGGCCATATGACCTTTACTATGTCGTGTGTGATGTAAAACCCAGTCAAACGAAAAACAGAACTGTCCATGGTCAGTGCGTGATACCCTACATACCACTTTGTCAGAATAAACAGTAGTCATTAAGAGCTCAATGACAACCTGACAACCTGTCAAAATCTGTGGTAGAAAGCCAGTGCAATAGTAAGATATGTATTCTACATGTTTTTAGTGGCAAAGATCAAAGTGACCTTTACCTTTGACCTACTGACTTCAATACTGAAACTGCCACTGCACGACTTGAATACCCTCCAAATTCATGCAGCTTTGCTGGGGCATTCTTAAGCATTTGAGCAGACAGGCTTATTGTAGTTAAAGCCCCTGTGACCTTTACCTTTGACATATTCACCTAACAAGAGGGCCATGATGGCCCTGAGGTCGCTTACCTGTATATAGCCCCCCCCCCCACGTTGCAGGGCCAATTTTAACCCAAGGGCTTTTATTTGCACAAACTTGGTAGACACCCATAAGAAGATGTTTCATGCTAAACATCTAAGCTCTAGCTCATTGGGCTTCTTAAAAGAAGATTTTTTTTTAAAAGTTTTTACTATACACATATAGTTAAAAACAATGACATCCCTGGGGCCGGCCAGTTTTGACCCCAGGGCTTTTATTTGAACAAACTTTGTAGACACTTACTAGAAGATGTTTCATGCTTAAATATCTGAACTCTAGCTATTTGGGTTTTTTAAAGAAGATTTTAAGTTTTGCTATACACATATAAGGAAAATCAATGACCCCCGGGCGGGGCCAATTTTGACACCAGGTCTTTTTATTTGAACAAACTTTGTAGACACTCACTAAAAGATGTTTCATGCTTAATATTTTAACTCTAGCTATTTGGGCATTTTCAAAGAAGATTTTTTAAGTTTTTGCTATACACATATAGGAAAATCAATGACCCCCCGGGCGGTGCCAAGTTTGACCCCAGGGCTTTTATTTGAACAAACTTGGTAGACACCCATTAGAACATGTTTCATGCTAAATATCTTAGCCTAGCTCTTTGGGTTCTTTAAAAGAAGATTTTTTAAGTTTTTACTATATGCATATAGGAAAATCAATGACCCCCGGGGCGGGGACAATTTTGACCCCAGGGCTTTTATTTGAACAAACTTGGTAGACACCTATTAGAACATGTTTGATGCTCAATATCTTAGCCATACTTTTGAGTTCTTTAAAAGAAGATATTTTTAAGTTTTTACTAAATGCATATAAGGAAAATCAATGACGCCCCGGGCGGGGCCAATTTTGACCCCAGGGCTTTTATTTGAACAAACTTGGTAGACACCCATTAGAAGATGTTTCATGCTAAATATCTTAGCTCTAGCTCTTTGGGTTCTTTAAAGGAAGATTCTTTAAGTTTTTACTAAATGCACATATAAGGAAAATCAATGACCCCCCGGGGCGGGGACAATTTTGACCCCAGGGCTTTTATTTGAACAAACTTGGTAGACACCCATTAGAACATGTTTCATGCTAAATATCTTAGCTCTAGCTCTTTGGTTCTTTAAAAGAAGATTTTTTAAGTTTTTTACTATATGCATATATGGAAAATCAATGACCCCCTGGGGCGGGGCCAATTTTGACCCCAGGGCTTTTATTTGAACAAACTTGGTAGACACTCACTAGAAGATGTTTCATGCCAAATATCTAAGCTCTAGCTCTTATGGTTTTTTAAAAGAAGATATTTAAAGTTTTTTCTTTCGGTTGCCATGGCAACCAGAGTTCTGCATGGAATTAAATTCTTTGAACAATTTTTAAAGGTGACCACCAAAGGAACATTCCTGTGAAGTTTGGATGAAATTGGCTTAGTGGTTTATGAGGAGATGTCATTTAAAGTAAAAGTTTACGGACGGACGCCGGACGGACGACAGATGGACAGACGCCGGACGGACGGACGACGGACGGACGCCGGACGAAAAGCGATCACAAAAGCTCACCCTGTCACTTTGTGACAGGTGAGCTAAAAATCAATATGGGGTCATCTACTAGTCATTACTAACCTCAGTACCAAATAAGATGACTGTTAACCAAAGCATTCTTAAGTAATTGAGCAGACAAGCTTTCAGAATTAAAAGCTTAGTGACTTAAAAACTAATAGGGTTCACTTTATAGTCATAAACAACATCCATGCCAAATATGAAGACTGGGGGCAAAGAATTCTAAAGATGTTTGGCGAACAATTTTTTATAGTCAAGGCCCTTCTGACCTTGACCTTTGACTCAGTGACCACAAACAATAGGGGTCATCTCATAATGATGACCAACCTCCATGCCAAATATGAAGACTGTGGGTCAAAGGATTCTAAAGATGTTTGGCGGACGAGTTTTTTTATAGTCAAGACCTTGACCTTTCACTCAGTGACCACAAAAACAATAAGGGTCATCTCATAATCATGAATAACCTCCATGCCAAATATGAAGACTGCTGACCAAAGTATTCTAAAGCAATTGAGCAGATAAGCTTTTTTGAAGTACTGGCCCCTCTCACCTTGACCTTTGACCCAATGACCTCAAAAGCAATATTGGTCATCTAATGTTCATGACCAACACCATGCTGAATATGAAGACTGTGGGTCAAAGGAATTTTAAAGTTATTGGGCAAACAAGCTTTTTCTAGTCAATGCCCCTGTCACCTTGACCGAGTGACCTCAAAATCAATAGGTGCCTTACAATAGTCATGACAAACCTCTATTCCAAATATGAAGACTGTGGGTAGAAGGATTCCTAAGTTACTGGGCCGACAAGCTGTTTAGTCAATGCCCCTGTGACGTTGACCTTTGACCCGGTGACCTTAAAATCAATAGGGGTCATCTACAAATCATGACCAATCTCAATATCAAATATGAAGAATTTGGGTCAAAGGGTTCTTAAGTTATTGGGCGCACAAACTTTTTTTAGTCAAAGTGCTGTGACCTTGACCTTTGACCTGGTAACCTCAAAATCACTAGGGTTTATATTTTAATCATGACTTATCTAAATACCAAATATGAAGACTGTAGGTCAAAGGAATTTTATGTTATTGGGGGACAAGGAAAAAACTGACGGACCGCCAACGTCCGACTGCCAAGCTGATTCAAGTATACCCCCTTACAATTTTGTTTGTAGTGTGAGGGTATAAAAATGATACAAAGGAGTATGTACTGAATTGTGAATTCAACATAAGACGGTACAGCTAACATTAAACTTTAAGTGTAACCTTCACAATGAAATACAGGTAGTATAGCTAACATTTAACCTTTAAGTGTAACTTTCACAATGAAACAGTATAGCTAACATTATACATTAAGTGTAACCTTCACAATACCAGTATAGCTAACATTAACCTTTAAGTGTAACCTTCACAATGAACCAGTATAGCTAACATTTAACCTTTAAGTGTTACTTTCAGTATAGCTAACAATTATACTTAAAGTGAACCAGTATAGCTAACATTATACTTTAAAGTGTAACTTTCACAATGAACCAGTACAGCTAACATTATACTTTAAGTGTAACCTTCACAATGAACCAGTATAGCTAACATTTAACCTTTAAGTGTGACTATCAACATGAGAAGCCATAGCTTACATTTAATCTTTAATTATGACCTATTTTAAAATCAAAATTGAAACAATTTTTTTCAGCTGATATTCCTTAATACACTTCATATACATTATATGAACCTGGATGCCTTTCCAGTCAAACAGCCACAAGAACGTAATCAACAAGAAAAGTTGAAATACACATATGCTCCATTTCTAGCGCTCATACTATTAGTAAGTTTGAAACTTGCCATAAATAGGTACATGGAAGTGTTCAATTATGGAAACAAGGGAAAGAATAATGACCTACTAGTAATAAACTATCAGTATGTGAAATACCTTGACCTTTGAACAAGTGACCCCGTTATGACTCATCCATATGACTGTGTAATATGAAGAAGTTTTCAAGATAATAAGCGGAAACCATTCCGCATTTAAGGCCCCTGCGACCATGACCTTTGAGCTTGTGATCCCAAAATCAATAGGGGTCATCTACTACACATGACCAATTATTAATTAGTATGTGAAATATGAAGACTTTGTGATAAATAGTTTTCAAGACAATAAACAGAAACCATTCAAACATTCAAGACCCCTGTGACCTTGACCTTGTGACCCAGAACTCAATAAGGGTCATCTACTAGTTATGACTAATCACTGTGTGAAATAAAAAGAAATTGTGATAAATAGCTTTTAAAGATGAGCGAAAACAATTTTTGACTTTTGATATAGTGACCCAGAAACCAGTAGGTGTCATCTACTTCATATGACCAATGAATATGTCAAATATGAAGACTTTGTGATAAAAAGCTTTCAAGACAATAAGCGGAAGCAATTCTTACACGCAATGTCTCTGTGACCTTTACCTTTGACCTAGTAACCCAAAATTAAATGGGGTCATTTAGTAATTATGACCAATCAGTACCGGTATGTGGAATATGAATACTTTGTGATAAATACAATGTAGTCTTCAAGATAATGAGCAGAAACAATTCTAACATTCAAGGCCCCTGTGACATTGACCTTTGACCTAGTGATTCCAAAATCAATAGGGATCATTTACTACTTTTGTTTAATCAGTATGTGAAATATGAAGCCGTTGGGATAAACGCTTCAAGATAAGGACCGGAAATCATTTTGATATTAAGGCCCCTATGGCTTTGACATAGTGACCTCAAAATCAATAGGGGTCATCAACTAGTTTTGGCCAATCAGTATGTGAAATATAAAGACTGTGTGATAAGTAATATTCAAGATAATAAGCAGAAACCATTCTAAAATTTAAGGCCCCTGTGGCCATGACCTTTGAGCTTGTGATCCCAAAATCATTAATAGGGGTCATCTACTACATATGACCAATCAAAATGTGAAATATGAAGACTTTGTGATAAACAGTTTTCAAGATAATCAGCGGAAATCATGTTGTCTACCGAAGGGCAGACATACAGACAGACTGACATTAGCAAAGCAATAAACCCCCTCCTTTTTATTATTATCATATATTCATCTTCTTAAATGTAAAGATGTTACATACAGTTGTAACATTTAGTTAACAAGCAGAAGGAAGTTTGTTTTACCTCTTTCTGTTCTGAAACAAGTGTCTCCAAGACTCCAAGTTTCTTTTTCAATTCTGCATTCTCCAGATTTTCGTCATTTACTTTGGACACCTTGGTTTCAAGTTCTAATAGCTTGTTCTTCAGATCATCATGTTCCTCTTTAGTTGCAGCACTTTCTGTCGATTTCAGAACTTTTGCCATTTCTTCCTTAATTTCTCTCAGGATTACTTCAAAGCCTTCAGTGGTAATAATGAAATCTTTCTTCTTCAGCTAATGAAAAGAAATCAGTTTTGTTATATTTTCTTTCATAAAAATGTAGCTAAGTAATTATTGATATTTACTCTTCTATATTATATATCAGGTCAAACTTCATTTCAAATTATCCCAATTGTTTTATTATTTAAACTCTCATACTTTGTTTTTTCTTAAATCCGCTTTTAAGGCAGTATACACTTACCTATGTAATTATTTGATTCTCAGACATTACTATTTTCTCACTTTTTCTTATTTTTTTCAGTGTACAGTACAGATAACGAGGACTATGCAAATTCCTGCGAGTAACGAGTAATTACAAAAAGCGTGACTTTGAGTGGATTATAAATTTCTCGTACACAAAAGAGTGACTCCGCGTCGATAATGAGTGACAATTAAGTCCGCGGGACTCCGTGAATCTCCGAGCCAAAAAGAGTGACTCCTAGTAATGGTATGCTTTATTTATTCATTTATTAATATAATGCTCTACCTTTAAACTATAATCCTTGAACGCATTTACATGTTATTATTCATTAAAAATAAAAATGTTGTCGACAATTCTTCGTTGATGTAAAGTATCACAAATGAAAACGAAAGTAGACACACTTGATTCATTAATATAAAAAGGGAAGAATAACCGATGATTTCCCGCAATTCCTGTGTCACACAGTGACAAAAACTTTTGTTTTCTTTAGGAACTGTTGCAGTGATTTAATAGGACTAGAGACATTTAAAGATTAATGAAGTTTATATAATCTGAATTATTCTTATTTCATAAAGAAGTATACAAAAAAGTTGGGCCGTTATTATATGTTGTTTTTTTAAATCGTATTTTGTTTTTGATAGAATTTCAGGTTTCTGTGGTTATTGCTACTGACCAAATTAATTGGGATAAAAATAAACTTCATGACACTTACGGTAGTGTTTTTTCTAATCAAACGTACCTTTCAACTGTTTCATGGTAAATTGATAACAACAACGGTTAAAATCATCTTTATTTTCGAATTGTAATCTAAAATGAAATGTAAAATGAGATTGCACTTGCATGTATTTACACCAGCTAGACACTGACATGGAGTTACGCGGTAATTCTCTCTCGGAGTCACGCGCTGTTATTTTCGTCTCGGAGTCACTCTCATCACACATTTCTCACGCGGAGTCAATCGTATTTATGGACAAATACTCTCGCGGAGTTGCGATTGGATTTCTCGATCCTCGATGCTTATTCCTCGTTATCTGTACTGTATCTTATGAGATTAGCAAAAAATGAAGAGTTTTAGAAGTTTTCAGAATTCTTATACTTCTCATTTTCTTAATTTCTCACTTAAGGGTTGGACATGCACGACATGTTGAGGTTCTAATAGGGGTCAAGATATATGTGGGATTCAGAAGTCCTCAATTTCAGAGGTAAGAATTATAACAATTTCGGGACCCTGAACATTGTTTGGATTTCAAAGTTTTTGGATTTCGTAAGTTTCACTGCACTTGCAAACTAAAATCTTTTTTCATTATAGTTTAACTTTTGATAGGTATATATGTTTTTTATATGACTTTATCAATCAACTTATTGGAAGTATCGTTTTGAATTTGACTATTACTTCAATATCATATTGCTTTAAATTCTGTTTCCAAAATTGTGTCGTGAATTTAGTGGACTGTTTTCTTAAATCATTATAAGTTGACTCCATAAAGATTTCAAACTGACACAATTCATTATTTACACTTACATCTTGAAGTTTCTTCACTGCTATCTGGGCATCTGATCGGTGTAATAGCTCTTTACCATCTTGTAAAACTGCTATCATATCGTCTAAGTAAGTATTTGCCTCACTTTCTTCTAATTCCATGCTGCTTGAGTGAAAGATAGCATTTCTATAGTGACGAACCTATTGAATAAAAAACACAGTTTCAACATTATTATATGCATAAATATACAGTGATTAGCAAATCAAAATTGTTTTGTAGAAAATTGTTGGGGTACTTACCTACATATAAGATGCTATCATGAATTATACAGGCATTTTTCATATATTTTACAAAAATGTCACATGGCAAATTTGTGATAATTGTGTCTTCATTTTCTATTCGAACAAGAGCCAGTTGAACCGGGTGATGCTCCCAAATAGGTTTTGGACACAGAAAGGTATACCTCTTGTAGTGTCAGAGTTATTTTCCAGACAAAGTTCAAAGTGTAAAAACAACCCAAATATTGCGCACGACACATTGTCTCAATATGGCGATCATTTCTGTGAAAAAGTTGGAAAATCTGACTTCAAATAACAAAGTTATGGGCTGGACACGATTTTGCTGCAAGGACATGCTGTGACCTTCACCTTCAAGGTAGCGCCCAAATGTTGCGCATGACACGTCGTCTAAATATGGTGATCATTTCTGTTAAATAGTTGTTAAATCAGACTTAAAATAACGAAGTTATGGGCTGGGACAGGATTTTCCTGCAAGGTCATGCTGTGACATTCACCTTCAAGGTAACCACCCAAATGATGCCCACGACACATTATCTCTCAATATAGTGATCATTTCTGTGAAATAGTTTTAAAAATCTGACTTCAAAGAACAAAATTATGCGCCATACACGATTTTGCTGCAAGGACATGCTGTGACCTTGACTTTCAAGGTAGTGACCCAAATGCTTTACATGCGAAACGTTGATTCAATATGGTGATCATCTCTGTGAAATAGTCGTTAAATTCGACTTCAAGTAACGAAGTTATGGGCCGGACACGATTTTGCTGCAAGGTCATGCTGTGACCTTGACCTTCAGGGTAGTGACCCAAATGTTGTGTGTGGGACAGGTGTTCTCAATACCGTGATCATTTCTGTGAAATTGTTTGTAAAATCCGACTTCAAATAACAAAGTTATTGGGTGGAACATGAATTTGCGGACGTATGTACGTCCGGACGGACATACCATTGTTACTTTTGATGTTTATGAGGCAAAGCAGCTCATAAACACCACCTGGACCAAAGTCCATAAGCAAAATAAGCTCATAAAAACAAAAAAATAGTTCTTAATTTGAATTTTATGAGTTTTTGTTCTTTATTTAACTACGAAATGAAGCTCTAATCAAATGTTTGCTCAGACTGACATGCGGACTGACGGATATTCTCAAAGTAATTATGTGGCTACTCTATTGTTCTCTCTATTGTTCTTTTTAGCCACACAAAAGAAAATAGCCCACATAAAAGCATTAAGGAATGAACTAGACCTATCACTGAAGGTGATTAATACCCCACCAGCAACTTTGACTTTTTGAAAAAAATATGTTGTCTGAAAGAAAAATTTGAAATAAACCTACAGAAAATAAAGTACCATCAGCACTGTGTACAAAGAATTATTTCAATTTATTGCAATCCCACTAGGATCTTGTATAAAAGGATTGTTAATACACAGTTAGATAACAATATCTCCTATTCCTATAAACCCTAAGTAGATTGTTAGGAAATCATTATTTTCTATTTTTTCTAGTAACTGTGACCGTATGAACCAGGGAAAGTCCAGTGCAGAATATCAAGCAAGCAAAGTCTTCATGTAAGCGATGCTAATAACAACAAGATTGATTACAATTATCTCATTCCTAATATAGAGTTAATTGTCCGGAAACCAATTTTTCTAATTTTTAGTATGGTGATGACTTGACTATGGCCCAGGGGGGTCACAATGCAAATACCACCAGGTCTTCATATAGCTATGCTATTGAGCACAACTTGGGATTATACAAGTATCTCATTACTTAACTTATAACTTATGTCGGAAGACCATTTCTCGCTATTTTATAACGATGACCTTGACCTTGGCCACAGGGGGTCCAGATGCAATACCAATCGGGGTCTTCATATAAGCTTGCTGTACACCAAGTTTGATTACAATACATGTGTATCTCATTCCTAACTTTAGTTATTGTGCGGAAACCATTTTTCCATTTTTAGAAACGGTGACCTTGACCTTGCCCCAGGGGGTCCAGATGCAATACCAACAGGGGTCTTCATATAAGCTTGCTGTACACCAAGTTTGATTACAATATCTCATTCCTAACTTTAGTTATTGTCCGGAAACCATTTTTCTATTTTTAGTAATGGTGACCTTGACCTTGGCCCCAGGGGGTTCCAGATGCAATACCAACCGGGGTCTTCATATAAGCTTGCTATATACTAAGTTTGATTACAATATCTCATTCCTTACTTTAGTTATTATCCGGAAACCATTTTTCTTATTTTTAGTAACGGTGACCTTGACCTTGGCCCCAGGGGGTCCAAATGCAATACCAACCGGGGTTTCCACATAAGGTTGCTATATACCAAGTTTGATTACAATACCTCACTCCAAACTCTAGTCATTGTCTGGAAACCATGATGTGGACCGACCGATGGACCGACAGAATGACCAACCGGCCGACAAGCTGACTCCTATATACCCCCCCAAACTTCGTTTGTGGGGGTATAATGACATCAAAGAGGAAGAACAGTTACCTATTGTCACTCTAGCCATATAATAACTGTCCTGTGAGTGCAGACTGACGGACGGACAACCCAGCGACTATGTGCTCCCCCGAAATTTTTCGGTGAGTATAAAAAAAATTATGAAATTTATCATTTCGGAGAATATGCCAGCATTCAAGATGTTCAAATTCTTTTAACAAAGCTTAATAAATCTTATTGAAACTGATCAGAAATTAAAACATATCGGCAATTTTCAGAACCTCCACACCAAGTACAAAAGGTGGTACCTTTGAAACCATTGAAGAAGACTGGTAAATTTGTATACTTTTGTTGTGAATCTTTAGATTTTCATTTTCAATTTTACTTTGGATGCTGAATATACAGCATTTACATTACAATACAGCTAATAAAAGATAAACAAGACACTTTATTAATAATTTACCTTTGTAAAAAGATTGTTTGTTCCTGTGACATCACATCCAATGTGGTTATGAAAATACTGGTTATTTATCATTAGATGTAAATAACCCAGTACAATCAGTTTCACCAGCAGATTGTTTCTGCTCGTACCCTGGAGCATTTATAAAACATTTACAAATGCTCCAAGGATCTGTCACCACTGTTGAGCATCGCTGTTTTTCCAGTTAGGTGAAGGTGGTGAGGAGGCATGATGCTGCACAATATAGTCATAGATGGCGCCACATATGTTGTTTCGGACAAGCAATTTTTGCCCTTAAAGCAACAGCTGCATTTTACTTGCCCAAGAGGACAGACTTTGTTTCCAGCATTCCGAGGTACTGGCTTATGGTCTGGCTTGAGAGTTTCAACTTGACAGCCCCCACATGTCACAGTTGATGGTAGTAACTTTGTAGACCAAATGTTTTGTAAGATATCCTTATGTTGTTGGTCAGCTATGTCATTACAGAATGGTACCAGTCCTCCTTTAAATATCCAAGTCCTAAACCAGCCTTTACCCACTGTCTGTATTTTTCCTTCTCTAACTGAAGTTGATGTGCCATCCTGATACTCTATCAATATCTAAACAAATCAAACAAAAAGATTATGTTAAATTTTATATAAATAAGTAATTATGGTCTTGGATTGCAATTCAAAGTCAAAAATACTGGGTAAATATGATATGAGCCGTGCCATGACAAAACCAACATAATGGGTTTGCGACCAGCATGGATCCAGACCAGCCTGCGCATCCGCGCAGTCTGATCAGGATCCATGCTGTTCGCTTACCAACCATATTACAAGTAGAGAAACTGATAGCGAACAGCATGGATCCTAATTAGATTGCACGGATGCACAGGCTGGTCTGGATCCATGCTGGTCGCAAACGCACTATGTTGGTTTTGTCGTGACGCGGCTCATATGTGTTCCAAAAAAAGACAAAAAACTAGTGGTGTCATCGATCAGGATTATAGATAAATAAACTATGAAAACTGAACAATTTGTTTATTTCTTTTATCAAATAACTATAAAAGACAACTAATGACTAGTAACTATAAAGTTTAAAGCATTTTCCATTCTAATTTTAGTGTTGTTGTTGCAATTATGAGGTTACGGATTAGGTTAAATCCCGTCCTTGCCGTTCAAAATATACCGGGGTTTAATAAGCAAATTATAGTGTTTACAACCTGAATAATTATTATAGTTTAACATTTTATAATCATAATTTAATTAATACAAAGAAACACTGACACAAATTTTCTTGGCGCTTTCCCTTTTTAAAAATCTGAATTGAGGGGTCTTAACACCCACTTAGCAGACGTGCGAGATTACAAAGAAATTCAGCAGTATTTGTTAGAGACACAGGGAGGTAATTTGGTGTAATTTTCATTTTCATTTTGGAAAAAAAATGTTTGAAAACATTTGGCATCACAGGTGCTTGTCACTTTATAAAATATTTTACATAATCGGCATATATATATATATATATGTATATTAAGATTATAGTATATATACCTAGTATATAGCCCATATAGAACATAAAAAAGTTTGCTTCAAGCACCTGTGTTGGCATTCAATACCTGATATTTAAAAAAAATTGAAATCAATTGTAAAGGTGTGACCATATAAAACGATTTAACAAATATTCATTAATTGAACAAACATTTATTTTTTATCTAGTTTCCATCCTCCATTTGCTATGTTCTATAAATAAGTTATTTCCGCCGCACATGCAGTACATTGTAACTGCGTTTGACACACAGAAAATCCCTTCCCTAGTTTGTGGTTATTTATGTAAATACTTTTTTATTTATGAACCAAATTAAACGATATATTGAATATAAAATCATTTTATTATTATAAAACACTGTTTCAAGAAAAGTTAATAAAAAAATAATCAATTTATAAAATATAAGTCATATTCGGTATCTTCTGTCCGCTACGGATATGACTTTTATAGAACGTAATTCGAATATAACTTATAACTTTTTTATTTATTGACCAAATTTAACAATATTTTGCATGTAAAATAATTTTATTATTATAAAACTTCGTTCAAGAAAATATAATAAAAAAATAATTACTTTGTAAAATATAAGTCATATTTATAAAGTCATATCTGAGGATATGAGTCATCTCCGGTATTAAGACATACCGCATTTTATAATAATAAAATGAAATTACATGCCAAAAATGGTTAAATTTGATTACTGTAATAAAAATGTTACTGTATTATTTGTGCCTGTTCTAATTTAAATAAAGTATATCCGTTAGCAGAAAGAGATACCGAATTGACTGTTTACGAGTACTGGGACACGCAACTGCATCAATTCGCGTAGACCTCAATTGTTACTAGTAACAGCTGCAGATAAATTTCGCGAGGCTAACTTGGGCAATTCTCAGACGAATTAACTCGCAAAGGCGCATTTTGCCGAAAAGTGATTTAGCAGTGATTCAGCAGGAAATAATCTGTTACTTGATGTATTTTGACTCTATGATTGAAAACCATTGTTATTTTAATATATACATGTTTATGAAAATTAATAAGTAGAGGCTAATGGAAGTGTGTATAAGAAAATCTTGTAATATTTTGTAATTAAATTATTTTATTGTCGACCAATCAACTTGCATCTTGCTACTCATCACCTACTCATCTCAAGCACCTGGCATTTTTTACTCGTGAAATTGAAAGTAAAGAAAGTCTCAATTTAAGTTATAAAACATTTACAATTTTCAACAATTAAAATTAGCGTACCCTTAAATTCCTATTAAACGCCCCCGGGGGCTAAACATTTTCCAAAAGGGGGGCTATTATTACAACACAGTTTTTCCTTAATCCAAAAATCACTGTAAAAATCACTGTAAATACATTTAGCAAGTGTTGGTAATATCATTAAAAAGTGTTAAGGTTTGAAAGTTAATATTATACATATTTGTGTTTACTATAAATTTAAATGGATTCTGAATGATTTGAATAAAATGATGGCTTTAATTATGAGTTCAGCACTGATGAGAAGATTGTTTTCCTTATCAAAAAGCCTGAGGGGCCTTTATTAGGGGAGGGGCGTTTATTAGGAATTTTACGGTATTAGATGTAATATTGTTCTAAAAATAGAATATGTGCGAAAGTTAACAACGGATTTTAATTACATTTGTATTATTATCAAAGTAACAATTGGACAATTTGTTATCGTGCGTTCTTTGATGTAGTTCCAATTACATTTTGTAATTTTAATCTCGTTTTATTGTTAACTAATTTTCATCCAGCACCTGATTGCTTTGTTTTCGAATACAAAATGTATACGCTGTACACTGTACATGTTCAATTGCTAAATATTAAAAAATATACATGACATTTACAAGATTTTTTTCTAAGTTTTTACTATATGTATCTAGTGAAAATTAAAGACCCCCCGGGCAGGACCAAGTAGTACTTTCTAATACAAATATTGCTGTAGATTGGCCGTAAATTACTGCGATACATCGCGGCGATTTTTCGTGAACCGTCATGAAATTTGTCGAACTTGCAAGCGGCAATGTTGTACCGCATAATGTCCCGTCACGACATAGACTACACTCACGACATAACGCGACTTTTGCGGGTTTCGCGTGTCCAGTACTGTAAGTTACATATATTGCAGGCTTTGTATAAAAGTCATATCCGTGGCGGATTGAAGATATCAAATTTATATGATTTGAAGTTTTCTTGTTTCTTTAATTTTTTTATTTATTTGTTGGTATTTTTTTTGTCACATAATTTAAAAAGTTAAAATAATAATACATGCAAAAAATCGTTAAATTATGCCCGTAAATGAAAAAGTAACAAGTTATATTTGTTGCATGTTCTAAATGTCATATCCTTGGCGGAACTTATATACGTTGCATATTCTAAAGAAAGGATTGAAGATACCAAAATTAATATGACTTATATTTTATAAAGTTCTGATTGTTTTTCTTGATACCACTTTATTTAAAATATAAATCATATCTGGTATTAAAAGTCATATCTGCGGATATGAGTCATATCCGGTATTAAGTCATACCTGGTTATATGTTGTTGTTTTTTTGTTCTTTTTCTAATATCGTTCTTTTTATCACAAAATAAACGGTCCAGGCCCCTTTACAATTTTGACAAAAAATGCCCTGCTGGCCTAATATTTGAATCAAGTTGTTATTATATGTGACATACCTACATCAGTGATTATTTCTGGAAATATCCTTCATATATAAAATATTATAATCTGATGTCAACTCTAGATATTGATACAATTAAGAAATTAGCAACTTTTCTATACATAGCGCTTAGAGAACGTGATCAATTCTTGTCTATGTTTACGCCAGACTGTGTATAAATTCGGAACTTTGCCTGTTTCGGACTAAATTATGTATTTCTCTCCCTTTCTCTGTTCTACGCCATTTGTTCATATTAAATCACGTATTTGATTATACTCTTGTGTGTTGATCTATATCCATTTTACTGGCGTGGTGGCAGCGAATTTACGTCCCACGCTTGATAAAGACCTGTGTACATCATCTCGTAATAGAATTATTACCGTGAACGCAAGTGTATTAAACAAAAACATTGACAATGGCAAATTCTACCCGCGCGCCAAAACAATGGTGCCTTACCAAACATGAAACTGTAAACTCATTTGAAAACTGGAGACAAAACTTAATCTACAGCCTTTCTTTAGACAAGAACTTTGCTCCCTTTCTCGTGGCTGGGCTTAAATGGCAGAAAAAGACCAAAACTGCACCTCACAGAGGCTTTGTGAACGACGGTGAGGATGTAGCCGAAGCTGACAGGAAAACCCGTGAGCAAAAGGTCAACATTCTTGAATTGATGTTAGGACAGATAGCAAATTTTTGTCCAGTAATATCCAGAAACACTATTGTTAAAAACTCTACCTCCATTGGTGATATTTGGCAAACAATCCGCCTCCACTATGGTTTCCAAATTACTGGTGGCCATTTTATTGACTTTGATTCTATCCGATATAATCCTACAGAGAGACCCGAAGATTTGTTCCAACGACTCACCACATTTATCGCATTTATAATTAGTAATTATACTTTTCTTTGATAAATGTAGCGCTTAAAGAACATGATTATTCATATATCTATGTTTAGATAATTAGTACTAATTCTATTTCTACGATAATTGTTGACATTTTGTTCTATATATTTCTATTATGTCTTTACAATGTCCGATATGTAGCATCCACAGATGT